AAATGCGAGGGGCTTGCTTGGGCCTGCGGGACACAAGCGACCACGAGTATTTTTTTTGCGGCTCTGCTGCATGACGGCTTGGATGTTGCGTGCGATCGCGGCCTGAGCAGCAGCGTGATGGGTCAGCGACTTGTGCAGCACCTGCGGCGGCTGAACCTGCATTCTCCTGGCGAGAGCGTGTACGAGCTGAAGCGCCCCAGGGAGACAGCGTGGCGGCGCACGGTCGCACGGCGCAGCGGCCGCACCCTGCACACATGACGGCGTCGATGTGGCAAACAAAGCAGCTCCACAGCGGGTTGCTGAGATCAGTTGCCGACCGGTAACCTGTGACTCACGAAGCCCTAATCAATGACATTTATCCAGCAAAGAGCCAAGTGGCTGCATCCAGGGTCCACAAGGGGTCCGCTCTTCGATTCCAGCCGCGCCTAAGGGGTTTGTTGGGGGCTGTCCCCGTGCCCCGGGGTCTGAGGCTGAAAGCCGCCTGAGCCGCCCTTGTTACTAGTGACACCCAAGGCCGAAAGCATCACAGCATCGCTGAGGAAGCCTGGCATCGGCCAGCCCGAGCTGCACCTCTTCAGCCCTCACTCGCTGTCGCCCTCCTCGCCGTCGCCGCCACCGCCCGTCTCGTCAGGCAGAAACCCAAACATTTGCTCATGCAGCGCGCGGTAATCGACCGCGTTGCGGCGCCGCCTGCTGTGCCGCCGCCGCCCGCCACGGCCGCCGCGGCTGCCGCGGCCGCCGCCGCTGCCATCCTGTCCGCTTCCACCGCTGCTGTCCGAGCCGCTGCTACTGCCACTGCTGCCGCCGCTGCTGCTGCCGCTGCTGCTGCCGCTGCTGCGACTGCCCGAAGTGCCGCTGGAGCGCTCCCCAAGATCCGACGAGGAGCTCGCACGACGCCGCCTCCCGTTTCCGCGGCGGTCGCCCTCCTCCCCCTCCTCCTCGTCCGACTCGTCATCCTCGCTGCCGCCGGAACCCCTGGCCCCGCTCGCAGCCTTGCTGCGCTGCTCGTTGCCCTTGCGCCCACGCCCGCGCCCGGCACCCCGGCCGCCGCGGCCGCGGCCGCGGCCGCGCGCGGTGCCGCCTCCGCGCCCGCCCGGCGCACCAGACGGCGGGGTCGGGGCGCTGCTGCGGCGCCGCGCAAGCAACGCCGCGAGGGAGGCGTCGAACTCCCCGCTCGCGCGCGCAGCTGGGCGGGAGAACCCGCTCGTCAGCGCAGCGGCCGCGGCTGCGCGCCGCACGCGGCCGCCAGGGCCGACCGATGTGGGAAGTGCGGCCTTCGGGCCGCCGCGCTTCACAGTGGGGGCGCGGCGCTTCGACAAGTTGGTCTTCGTCAGAGATTTCTTGCGGCGGCTGTCGCTGCCCTCGCTCTCACTGCCTGAGCTGCTGCTGCTGCTGCTGCTTCCGCTGCCTGAACTACTGCTGCTGCTGCTGCTACTGCTGCTACTCTGGCGGCGCCGTCGGTGGCTGCGGGGCTGACGCTGGCTACTGTCGCTATCGCTGCTACTGCTGCTAGACCCACTGCTGCTACTGCTGCTGCTACTACTGCTGCTGCTGCTGCTGCTGCTGCCGCCGCCCCTGCTGGAACCGCTACTGCTGCTGCTGCTGCTACTGCTGTCACTGTCATTGCTGCTGCTTCCACTGCTGCTGTTGCTGCTGCTGCTACTGCTGCTGCTACTGCTGCTGCTGCTGTCGCTGCTGCCGCGCTTCCGCTTACGGTGGTGCTTCTTCCTCTTCTTCTTGCCTGCAACAGATGCGGTATTGAGGAAGTCAGATCAGGCCACCCTTGCATGTCCTTGTCTCAATGCCTGGCCTGATGCCAGGCTTTGCCAACGGCACACAGGCACCTGTTGAATGTGCGCCACACGCCACGTCAAGGCGCGCAAGCCTCAAGTCCCCTCGCCTGGCCTAGCAAACAGACCCACCTCCGCCGCTGCTGGATTCGGGGCTGAACGCTCTGTCGTCTTCGTCAGTCGCCATGGCCTCCCCCATCAGCAGGTCAGTGATCGACCTGCGCCGCCGCCGCCCCGCCCCCTCCTCCCCGCTGCCGTCGCCGCGGTC